AATAGGGGCGAGGAGTCCTGTGGCACCTTATAGACTAACTGAAGTGTAGGAGCATAAGCTTTCGTGGACAAAGACCCACTTCGTCAGATGCAAGTGGGTCTTTGCCCACAAAAGCTTATGCTCCAACACTTCAGTTAGTCTATAAGATGCCACAGGACTCCTCGCCGCTTTTGCAGATTCAGACTAACACGGCTACCCCTCTGATACTTGACAAGCATTAATAGGCATACTCTACCTCTTAAAAAGACTGGAAGTAGCAGTACACACTGCCCAGTGCAGAAAAATCGGCTTATGAGTAAAAAACAATCATCAACTTAAGTTCAGATCATCATGCAAAAGACAGTTAACATGCTTTTTTAGTTTTAGAAAACACATTCATTCCCTAAAATCTGCTGCCTATTTATTTTGACAGTGTCCGCTGGTTCAAAAACCAGGATTAATGGACTATTCAACAGAACACTGTACATGCTTTTCATCTACAAAAAAAATTTGCATAAAATAGTGTTAGTTCTCTGTACACGTCAATGGACACTTTAGTTGTGTATTTAAAAAAAAAAAGAGAGGAAAATATTGCCCCCACTGGAGTCAAAAAAAGCAAAACAAAAAACAGACTATGAAACTTCCATCACCAGCAAATACGTTCATGTGAAAATTCAGCAGAAAACAACAGCTGCTTTAAGCAATAAAAAATGTATTAAGTTAAACATTTTTTATGTAAAATTGTCATGGTCAGTCAAGACCAGAACATTTCACTCAAGTTAGTGTCTGTACTGTAAAGCCAGATAAGCAAGGGCATAGTAATGAGTACAAATGGCCAGGAAATCCCCTGGGTGCATGCTGATAAAGAACATGGTTTGGTGGCAGGCTTCACACAATCTTTACCAGGTTCCAGGTAGTTCCGGGCCACAAATTTAAGTGTCTCATCCAGCAGAATTACAGGTAGTGAGATTTTCAACACCATCAACCACTGTGTCACATTCAGAGGTGTGATTTGGAAGATTAGCTGTGGAAAAGCAGCCAAGCATTAGATCCTTTTACATAAACTCTTCAATTGGGTTGCTCGTCTATTGGAGAACATACTCATTTAAAGTGGCACAATGTTCTAACTGGGGCAAGCCTTTGGATCCAGCCTGTGGCCTGTCAGGACCCTCAGGCAGGCTCCCTGCCTGCTGCAGCCCCAGGCTGCTCAAAGCAGCTGGCTACTGGGGCCATGTGCTGCTACTGTCCAATGGGAGCTGTGAGGACTGTGCTGGGGGTGGGGGCAGTGTGTGAAGTC